AAACACACACATTAGAAATGACTATTTACTTTTATTACATATTTACAAAAAGTCATCAGTAACCTTGACATCTGACCCACTTCTGATAGGGAAGGGAGTTTTTGTTTACATAGTAATAAGACGCTTAGCGCGTTGTTGTCATTAACGGTGGGGAGTGGGTGCAGTCACTTGACACCCTGTTGTGAAAGTAATAAAGTTTAACTGACCTTGACAGAAGTCTCTAGTTACTAATAATAACAAGTGGGGAGCAGTTGTTTAAACAGTAATAAAACCCTTAGCGGTTTATTAAGTGACTTTCCTGCTCTACTCATATTACCGCAAAAGCAATAAACATAAACACTTAACACTGAACTTTGAAACAGGGTGAATTCCTATCCGATTACAAAGGAACCGACGACAATCGGTGAAAGTTGAGATAATCTATTGGGAAGAGAAAGCTGATCTGTTTATTTTAAAGTTGTATAGTCTCTAATTACAGGAAAATAAAGTAAATAAAACATTATAAAGAAAGAAAAGTATCAAAATAACTAATAAAATCATAATTTCTGATTATTGGTAGCCGAGATTTTACGATTTTAAAATAAAAACGGCTGAAGCTACGATCGCAGTGATGAGCGATTAGTTATGTCAACCTGTAGCACGCTTGAGTGCACACGTAAGTCCCTCCAGCTCGATTTCCTCACCCCTATTAAAGCGCAAATCGGACCAGTCCACTTCAAACGCCTTTACTAAGAGATAGAACGTCCTGGCGTATTAAGTGATCAGTTTACGTACCTGCGCAATCCATCAGCAACCTGACAATCTCTTTGAGCGAAGCTGTACAAGAGATATTTGTATTGGCATATCAGAATCAGTTCATTTTATAAACCAATGTCTGATCTCCTTTTCTGAAGATGATAACTTTACTGATGGCATATCAGAATGTTCCTGATTTATCTGTGTTGATATGTTTCTCAAATTGATGTTTCAGTCTCTCTCTTTTTTCAATAGGGATTATCAAAAGCATAAAAGAGAGGGAAATCAGAGCTTCAATTTGTAAAAATAACTGATTCAGGAACATTCCAACGTGCTGGTATATCAGTATAGAATTGATATTGATAATCATATCTACTTATTTATATGTAGAATGAATAACTTGCAAACACTAGTTTATTCTTGTTAATCTAATAAGCATTTATCTGTTTGTATTTACATTAAAAATGCACACCTAAAAACTGTTCAAAAATAGAATTATCTTTCAGTTGACAAAGTTTTGTCATTGTGTTTAATATGTTTGAGTTAAACTTTTTTATACTTAAAAAATAGTACATTATCTCTTAATCCATATGTTTTAATGATTAAAAAATTTTCTTCCAATTTAGGCCTGGTGCAACATTGGAATTTTAAATGTAAGGTGCCATAGTAGCACTGGATTGCCATCACAAAAATAAATACACACTGTATTAAGAAATGACACACAGAACACATTCTGCTGTCATTAGAGATGGATGTATATCAAAGAAAATATATAATTTTAACTTATCTTTTATATAAAAAATATATTTTGAAACAAAAGACATGATTTGTGATACATCCATTTACTGGTTCAAGGCTTACAAAAGCTAATTTTATACATGGTAGGCACCAAGTTTCTGACCCAACTATGTTTTAGATATAAAACAATGATGTAATTTTTTTTAATATAGTCTCCTTGAAGTTCAACATACTTATTACATTTTGGAATTAGCATTTCAATACCCTTGAAAAAATAGTCATTAGTTTTGTCTGCAGAATGTTCATATACTGCTCCTGCAACTCTTCATCAATTTTTCAAAAGTCTTTTTTAGTTTTGGAAACAGATAATAATCACTAGGAGACAGGTCTGGGCTCTAGGATGGATGATCAAGCTCCTTGAATCCACACCTTCACAGTAGCCTTGGCAATGGCAGCAGTGTGCACTAGCACATTGTCCTGCAAGAGGTGAACATGATTGCAAATTAATGCAACTATTAAATCTAACTAAAATGAATCTTTCCAAGCAACTTATGGAAATTGGCAGGAAAAAATGTTTTATTAGTTCATATACAGATGGCACTATCTGATAAAATCATTATTTTATTCCTATCATGTCTAAAATATAGTTAGGCCAGAAACTTTTGGCTCCTACCTTGTACATCTTTTGTGGACATAGGACATTTTATTCTGGATTTTATCTTATGTCCAGTTCTTCAAAAATTTTTACCATCATTTTATATTTACAGCAGAGTTGCTAACTGTAACATTCAAAATTAACTTAAATTTGTTTGTTTTGTTTGCTGAAATAAAAACACAGTTTTAATTAAATAAAGTTAATAAAAGTTCTTTTATTAACTTTTAAATTTATATATAATCTTTTTTTATAAAATAATTGTTGTTTTATTGTAACATACTACTTATTGATTTGTGGCATATCAATTTGTGGATGTGGATCATTGGATGTGTGCATTGATCAATGTACAACAAGATATAAAAGGCTGGAGTGGATTTGTAGTATTATTGTAGTGTCATAGAGATCTGTGGCACAAACTGCATACAAGATGGGCATACAGCAAAGTAATATCACTGGAAATATGTGTTCAGAACTTCCATCTGGCTTCTAGACACTAATGATCCGTATCCGCGGATATACATTTTTAACAATCCGGCACATAACTACCGTGTTTCCCCGAAAATAAGACCTACCATAGGTTTTGCTGAAATGCTAAATATAAGGCCTCTCCCGAAAGTAAGACCTAGCAAAGTTTTTTTACTCGTAACGGTCATCGACAGATGGTTGAAAGTGGCCGTTGGCTTTTTGAAAGTACACCCACTGATTGGTCAGCAGACAATTAATCATCATATTCTTTATTATGTACAAAAGTTAGTACAAAATCTGGCACCACATAGGCACAACCGGGTGGGGTCAGAACACATAAGTTGAATGAATGGTACATGGTATACATAAAGTAACAATAATTTAGTAGGTGATATGAGAAAATAATAAAATAAAATTAAAATTAAATAAAATTCGAGTAGAATACAGTACAATAAAATAAAATACAATACAAAGTAGCATGACATAAAATACAAAATAAGATAGGATACAGTACATTACAAATAAAATAAAGTACAATAAAAGAGTACATTTTATAAGGATACAATGAATAAGATATATACAACTATAGAATCCACAAACAATTTACATTAAGTACATTGAGGAAAAATACAAAGAATCAAATATATACAAGTAAAGCATACACCGAATAGGGCCAGTAATGCAATATAGAACAATTCATGGTTTGAAGTGGATCCAAAAATAGAATATATGAACATTAATTTTTTTTTTTTTTTTTCTTAATGTTCATATATTCTATTTTATTATTTATTTATTTATTTATTTTTATTATATTTTATTTTATTTATTTTTTATTTTTTTATCCATTTTAAACCATCAACAGACAATCATGCCACACGGCATGATTTGCATAAAACTATGGCTTGGGAATCACAGATTTGCATAACGTTATGGCTGGTGATGGCTAATTGGTCAGCCAGGAATCACGCCACATGTCATTTGCATAGTGCTACGGTTCAGTAAGCACTAATTGGTCATTGAGCTCGATGTCAACACTATAAAAAAGTTAAGTTGAAGCGAGAGTGGGAAATCCACTCCAGCATGGGAACTTCGTAAGTTCAGTTCGACACAACCAGATATACGTCGCTCTCGTCTAAGTTCGACTTGGGAATTTTTTTTGTTCAATAATAAATGTGAATTCTTTTTCATGGAAAAAATAAGACATTCCCTGAAAATAAGACCTAGTGCATCTTTCAGAGCAAAAATTAATATAAGACTATTTTATTTTTGGGGAAACACAGTAGTCAGTACTTCGGTACAATTGTGGTTTTCTCCAATCACTACAGGAAAAAGCTGAGCAACCTCCATGCACATTGCAGCAATCACTACTGTTTGATAATAGATTTCAGATATTCAAAACAAATTTTTAATGATTGTTTTATAAAAATTATCTTTTATTTGTGTTTTAGTTTTAAGAAGTGTAAATACTTTGCTTGCAAAAACACACTTAAATCTTTGTCCATCTCATTTTCTAATGATTATTTTAATCTGTACAGATAACTATTTAGTAAGTGAAAAGTATCCTCAATTCTGTGATTAATATATTTAATCTCAGAATTGAGATTAAATATATTACAGAATAAAACTTCCTGTTATTACAGAAAGACCTAGAGACAGTGGCGGCCTTAGGGGGTGGCGAGCAGGGCAATCGCCCGGGGCCTCGCTTTTGGAGGGGCCTCGCGCAACAACCAAGTAGAAAAAAGTTGATATTTAAAACTTTTTATTTTATCCTTGGCTATTAGTTATAACAATAAAATAAATTTAATTTATAGTACAGTATATATTAATATTAATAAGTGCCTACTATTTCAATTCACATACTTTGCACAAAGGACAAGGGCCTCGCAAAGATCTGCCGCCCAGAGCCTCGCAATGGATAAGGCCGCCGCTGCCTAGAGATAATCTTTATTGAAATCAATAAATGAAAGCATTATTTATTATATACAGTGGAACCTTGCTTAATGAGCACCTTGCATAACAAGCAAAACAAATTGTAAAAAATTGCCTCACTTAACGAGTGACATTTCACAAAACAAGTGACAAGGAGAGGGGAAGTCCTGGATTGTGCACATGCTCCATCAATTTGTGTTTAGGATTCATCCTACTAGCATCTCAGTGTCACTTGTTATCACACATTTTTCCGAACTTGTGTTCACACATATTACGTACAAACATCAATAGCTATAGCCAATTATATAATAAACATGCCAAATGTTGTGCAAAATTCTTGGGCTATGTAAAGGCTATAATTAAATATTAGAAATTAATTAATTTGATTAGAGATAGGCAGTTATGCTGCCATTTCGTATTAAATTTAATGGCCAAGTCCAAATTAAATTTTAGAAATGTCTAAATTAAGAATTATTTATAATTATTAAATTTAATATGTAGTTTTAAATTTAATAATTTAAAACTTCTAGTCAAATTAATTAATTTCTAATATTTAATTATAGCCTTACTAGCCTAAGAATTTGGCATTTTGTTTGGTGTGTTTATCAGATAATATATCTGTGAGTTTTTTTGTTTTCTGCAAATCAAATTCGCATTCCAGGTTAGTTCATTCCATGCTAGAAAAAAGATTATGATGATTCACTCTCCTTAACACTGTATATTGTACAATTTTCTTTGAATAAAAGTTAAACATAAAATATTTGAGTAGTTTTTTCAGCATGGAACAAATTATCATATTTTACATTAATTTATATGGGAAAAATTGTTTTGCTTAGTGAGTGTTTTGAATTACAAGAAGATTCTGGAACAAGTTATGCTTGTTAAGTACCACTGTACTAGAAAGCAGATCATTTGTTAAAAACATTATGGTACTTCAAGTTCAGCAATTAATACATATATATATATATATAATAATTGCTGAAACTTGAAGTACCATATGAAGTTAGTATCAAAAAATGTCACACAGCTAATCATGATTAGTGTTTCATCTATGATATGATCTGTATAAAGTAATTTTTTAATTATTGCATTCTATAATTTTCTCTAAATATCTTTAAAAATGCAGTAGTCTCTCGTTATATTGTACTTGTCGGGAGACAAAGAAAAGGCACAATATAACAGAATACTAAAAATTCTGGGCTTTTACTAAAGCATATTATACATGCTATGGAATCCCTATCTCATAATAAAATAGAACATCAAAACTTATAAAATTATAGAGTAAAATTTCTCTAAAAAGCAAAATAAAGTTACTACTATATAAAAAGTTTAGAATTTTCCGTTCAGAAATAATCTTTCCCTTACACATTATGCAGTGAAATTTTGAATTCACAGAAACTTGTAAATGAGGAGACAGTACTTAAAACCAATAAATGAACAACTTTTAATATTAAAAGGAAACAAATGATAATTGATCTGTCCACCTATTTTGCTTATTTAGCTCTTGATGAATTTATTGTTTCACCTGCAGTGGTGGTTTCAAGGACAGTTGTACAGATAAAATACCGTATTTCGTTGCAAAAAGAAATTCATTGGCAATTGATAATTTAAAATTTATTGGCTTGAGTGTTTTTAAACTTTGGGGAACCAAACAAAAACATGATATATTCAAATCCACGATATAATGAGGGACTACTGTGTAACAAAAACAAATACAATTAACATAAAAGGAATTTAATATAGACTATATCATGTATATATTAGTGGCATAATTGCACTGTATACCTACTTGTTATATACAGTGGACCTTGTTTATTGGGCTCAAACAGGACTGGATCAAATCTGGAAAATTCATTAACAACATAAATAACATGGTTTAGATGTACATTATATTTTATTTATTGCACATTATATATACTTTTACAGCAATATTAACAGCATAAAGCAGAACACATATCTACATACAGTATCAGTTTGTTGTTCTCTATCAGATGGTACAGTACATGTACATAAGTTTCCTGACCATTTGTGTAGAATAGAACTTCTCTTTATGACCTTTTTCAAATAATTAGAATTAGTACTCTGTACAAAAACCAAAGGACTAATTTGAACTGAAGTAATTGTGATATACTGTACTGTATTTATTTTTGTTACCAGTTCCTTAGTTATAAAGTCACAGGTGTTCAAAATTGGTATTCAGCCAAGGTAAAACAGTATTCTTATAGCTGCAACATTATACTCAGGCAAGAATGTACTATTAACAAGTTCGTTCTTTGATTTTTTTGCATATATAGGTTTTCTGTAGGCTTATTCCAGATAAACTGGAGATCCAATAAACAGGGTTCCACTGTATGAACAAATAATCACACTTCCCTATTGCTTTTAAGTTTGTTAAATTAAGAAATATTTTACATCTAATAGATTTTCCTGAAAATTGAATTAAAAATAGAAAATATTAAATGTATGCATCTAGCATAGGGACAAATTATTCTCATTTATACCAATTTTATTCTTCAGCTAGTTCCATGTTTATGTAGCTTTATGGCATCTTTTATTTTTGAAATAAATACTTTGAATTAAATATGTTATTTAAATCAAATTAAAATATAAAGTGTCTATAAATGTTCTTTGTGGTTAAGTTTATTACTCAGCAAGTCTGCATGGTGCACATGAAAGAAATGCAAGCTGAAAGTGCAACTCAAAAAGTTTTTTTACATACAGAAAGAAATTAGTCAAGTACAGTGTGAACACCATGAGTAGCTTAAATGACCTAAATACCAATATTCAACGTCTTTCCACACATTGTGTAGCATGTCAGGATCAACTTTTGCATGGAAATAATTTATTTGTTGCGTTTTCTCTTGAATCGTCAACAATGGGTGGACAGACACTGTCTTTTACAAATCCTCATAGAAATAGATTGGGAGTGTTACATCTAGGTATCTAAGAGACCACACCAAAGAAGCTCTGTGCCTAGTCCAACATTGGGGCAGATGTTGAGGTATGTTCTCTTTCAGTTGAGGCTATGCAATGTGTGATGAGAGGTTGAATATCATATGGTGTCATTCAAGCTACTTATGTGTTCAAACTGAACTTGAGTAGTTTCTTTGTATGTATAAATAAATTTATTTTAGTTTCTCTTTCAGTTCATGCTTGTTTCATGTATGCACCTTGCAAACTTACTCAGTAATGAATTTTCAAAACTGGAAAGAACACTGGACACCATGTGTAATATTAATTAGAACTTTTTTAAAACTATTATTGAATAAAACAATATATATATTTTTCAGGAAAGGAAGTGATGAAGCTGATTTGGTTCCATCACGTATAGCTAATGTTAAGTGTCCCCAGGTGGTCATCAAATTCTATGAAGAAAGATTAACTTGGCATACCAGTTCAAACCAAGAGGAAGAAGTGAAGACTGAGAAAGATTCATAATGGTTTTTACATAAAATGGATAGTTCATGTGTTTAAGGTGATGAGAAGTTTCTATTTGGTTTATTATTATTTTTTTCTTTTTGTATAAATGCATATAATATCCATTGTGGAAACTCTTCTGTTTTACATTTGAGTAGTGATTTTTTCATAACCATTTTAATGATCATCTATGTCATTGTCGTCGTCATCATCATTATCATTATTTTGGAAAAAACACATCATCTAAGAGTAGAAATTTCTTCATACTTTGATGTGTACTGATTAGATTAATTTTTGATATATTTTGGTTTATAAATATATATATGAGATTACTCTTTCCAGTTAAAATTTTAACATATGATTTTTGTAGATGAAAGAGTTAATAAAATTTTCATATTGGTAATTGGCAAAAATATTTGTATGTATATATACATATATCTACATTTATAGTGATATGATGTAACAGTTTAAAAATGTCAAATATTGGGATGTTTTAAAATAAAATAAAAATTGTAATATTTGTTTGGACATGTTTTCTCTTATTAAATTTCATTAATTCATGAATAGACCAAATTGTTTTTATTTCAGAGAGAAGACAGCTACAACTGAGAAAATCTCTGCATTTTAGGAATTATTTTTCTGCTCTGACCAATACAGTATGTAATAAGTTTATATCCAGCAAGAAGAGGATTATCACCAATAAAAACTGTTTCAAACAATCATATTTGTTGAAATATTTCCCAAGTGTTAGTCTGAAATTGAATAGTGTTTATTGCTGTCTGTTCTACATCCATTACAAAATATGATACTTTTCTACTGCTATTAAAAGTTTAATATGTAAGTTATATACACTGATGTGCTTTTTTTTCCAATGCTTTAATCAAATTCAAATTGTGTGTCAGTTTTTAGTAGTGAACATTGTTTTCTTCATATGACATTGTAAGAGTTGATCATGTCAATTCATACCCCAAATAAAATATTCATTGAAATTTTTAAATTTTCTGTAATAAATGTGATGTATTGTTGCTTAGAAATTTCATTTTAAACATCATTCAAAATATATTAAATATAAACAGGTAGTTTGGAAAAATTACTCAGCTGTATTTTTTCCATTGAGAAATTATCAATAAATAAATTTTTCTTCTTTTCAGTTAGGAAGAGTATCAGTTAATTTTGTATGAATACTTTTTCTTTCAATTTAACATCATAAAAGGAAGATATTTTGTAATGTAGCCTGTATAAAAAGATATTCTTTTTATAAATATTGTCTGAGTGTTTTAATTATAAGTCTTTTCTCTCTTCAGACATTGTTTTGTACAGGTTACCAGAAAAAGTTTTAATCTGAAATTGGACATATTTATTGATGTTAATGAAATCTTGCTGGATTCTTAGCTTATGAAATAAGTTCACAATATACACAGCATTTGAAGAAAATTTAGATAGCTGAAAACATAGTTTATGCATTACTATTTTGTAGCTAGTTATTCTTTCAACTGATTTTTTGAAATATATAATGTTGTAAAATAACTCTTGTGCATATTTTACTATGTTTCAATGTTTATAATGTGAACTTATTAACATATTACCTGAATGTTTTTAACTGTATTAGATTTTAAGTTTGTGGATTTGACTCCAAAATTTGATATGCTAATTTATGATGATTGATAGAAAATTTTACTCCCACATCTGTAATTTGAGTAAAAATGTATGCTTATCATTAACTTGGATATTTAATCCCTTAAAAATATCGTTTTGAGATGAAATTTTAAAATACAAGTTTATATCAATTTTAAGGTGTTTATATTAAAGATTAATATGAGTATCTCTGGTAAAATGGAATATGCCTGATTGATATTAAAAATTTAGAATCAAATTTTTCAAAAATAGATCATAAAACTTTTTTAAAGTTATAATTATAACTTCTCCTAATATATTGAATTACAGTAACTTAGTACCATTATCTGAATAATTAGCATCTAATTTTCACTTATATTAATGTAAATTTGATAAATACAGTGTAGCACTACTATATTAAATACTTATTGTGAAAACTTGGGTTACATGAAAAACTTGGAAACTTTTTTTATTTTACAAATGCTTCATTAAATTTTTAAAATATGTCACTATTAAATTTTATAAAAGTATTTAATTTGAATAGTGATGTTTATATTTCCATACTGATGTATTTATCAAAATTTACATTTTCCAACAAATTATTAGAATAGTTTTTCCATTGGCCAGATAAGAATAAAAATTTTAATGTGGAAAACTAATGTGTTGTAAAGTTTTCATTTGAAGTTTTCTACAGAGAAATTTCTTTTAGGATATCATTGTATTAAGGCTTGTCCTTTTGTTTTATTGTTTGAATATGGTTATATGAACAAAAGATCAGACCAGTATATGAATATGTGTAATGTAATATGGTTTGTGGACAATTCCATGGTAATATGAAAAAAGTCAAAATAAAAAAAAATCCACAATTCTTAAATCAGTTTCATTAATCTAAGTTATATACTTAAGTATTCACAAGTTTTGATATGAATTTTTATTTATATATATGTTTATTATTATGCTAAAAATTTGAAGAAACATTGTTTTTACAATATTTATGAAATATGTTTATATAATAATCCAGTAATTGATTTTGATAATTAACAAATAGCATCCAGAATGGTAGTAATAATGCATAAGCTTAATAGCCAATTTTATTCATTCTTAAATGATTAAACTATTTAGCATATTATAAAGGAGTGTGGATTTAATTCCATACAGAGATTTTGAATATGGTTTAACTAAATTTTATTATTTTATATAAATGTCAGAAAGTAATTTGATTATTTGTTGTTTTCCTTATCGGGGTACATTAAAACGTACTAATTGGTAATACATTTCCCGTTTTTAATGCAATTTTGAATATTGTGTAAACATTTTTGGCATTCGTTTTTTCATCAGAGGAAGTTTAATTACATATATATCTATATACAAATTCCAATTAAAATTGCAAGTTCTGTAATATGATTTACAATTATTTTTTATTTTGTTTAAACAAAATTTGCTTAAATATATAATTATGTGACGAGAGTAAAAAAATGCTAAAAACGTTTAAACAAATAAGCAATATTTTATCATCAAAGTAGAAATGCGTTGTTAATAAATAATAATCTTAATATTGTTTTATTGTCGTTATAATGATTATCATTCATCGCATACAATTCATATCAGAAATGTAAAGTAACTTTGAAGAAATTTATTGACAAATTTATGACTTCACGCAATTGCCTTGTAGTAATCTGTAACCTATATTGATTACTATATCATTCAGGAATATTTAAATAAACCGTGTTTAACGGGTTTTATTTTTAGTATATTTTTATTGCTTGATATTTTTGCTCAACGTTATAAGCCTTACACAAAAATAGTTACTAAAGAGAAATGCATGGAATTTGAAGTTAATTAATAGCAGTGTCAGTGAAATAATATTTTTTCAGAGTTTTAATTATAGTATCATCTTTGAATGCCGAAATACAGAATATTGTAATGAATTTTAACAGATCATTGTGGTGAAAAATTTAGTTTGTATGAATGTTTAATTCATACAAGCTAAATTTTTCACCACAATGATCTGTTAAAATTCATTACGTACAGAAACATTGAATTCGATGATAGAAGCACTGATTCCTAATAAAAACGAAAATAACATAGCCTCCCTACCCTCTATACTCCCGTTTTTATGGAAATCTCAAAATACGTTTTGGTTATAAAAATATTCGCAACTAGATAAAACGGAAAAATCTAAGGTTACGTTTATTTTATACACTTTCATATGTAAATGGAATAACAAAAATAAAGGCATACTTAGTAGGTCCACGGATTAACGGACTAATTAGGAAAAGTGTCCGTTAAAACGGCAGAGATGTAAGACAGTCTGCCTCTCTTATGGGGATCGTCCGTCTCCAAGAATTATTTCGGGTGATCTGTCTGATACGACGACCCCACCTAATCTTAGCCCAACGGTCGCCAACCTTCCTGACTTGCGGACCACTTAAGCAACTAGTTGGATTTTTTGATCTACAACCCGGTAAATTTAAATAATATTTTTGTGAGAAATGAGTTAAACGATTTAAAAGAACGATTTTGTAATTAACAAACATATTCACACATGTTACTTTATTTTTAATAGAAAAATCTCGAAGGACAGTTGATATCCACTCCTGAAAATTAACATTTATAGACGAAAACAAAGACAATAACTATATAAAGTTAAATATACATTACATTTATACTTTTTTATTTTAATATATAAAGTTCTCGGAAGAATTTGTTTTCGAAAAACTGTTTTCTTTGATTTGCTTGTTTAACAGCTGACAAACAATAGTTGAAGATGCCACAGTGCGTTGTTCCAAAACATTTTCCTCTTTCCAAATTGGAAGTAACTCAGTTGATAACTCATATTTACAAATAAAAATCCGCCAAATCGTATATTTGCTAAGTGTGCTAAAATGTTTAAGTTTGTCGCCCAGCTGTCGTGTACCCGAATACTTCAAAATGTACAGAAAAAATCAAGTGTGGAATTATTTCGAAAAAATCTCAACTTCTGAGAAGTTCTTTTTTTTTAAAAAAAAAAAAAACGTTGCAATACGCCTCTGATTTAACAGACCATTTAAGATGGGTCTCAAACTCAAACGAAGCGAAGGGCTAGTCAAATACAGTACATGTATATCAGACGCGGGCTGTATTCAATATTATTCGGTAAAGCAAAACATACATACTAAAAAAATGAGTATTTAAAAATAAATAAAGCTCTAACAAAGATGCTTTTGTTGCCAGGCCTTTACGACTTGCATAAATAGAGGTTTGAATTTTTTGTTTTAATCCCTTCAACATGTTAGAAACATTGACTTTTAGAAAAGAAATCAAGCCAGCGGGCCGGATATCGAACCTTAACGGGTCGCCAGTTTGCGACCCCTGATTTAAGACTTACATTTTTTTTTTACTCCTAGCTCCACACCACAAAATTTATAGATACCGATATAGCTACAAAAGAAAAAAGCAATATTTATGAAATATGCAAATATTGCACTTGTATTTACTTATGTAATAATTTAAAAGGAGAAAGTTGGTAACAGCATTAAAATGCAAATTTTAATAATTTTCCGATTTCTCTGGAGATATGACATCTATCTTCCTGCTTGACCTTTAACCACCAACATTTAATAGTATTAATGCCCCTTATATATAAGCTACCATGCCAAATTTCGTTTCTTAATCATTACCCCATCCTGAGATGATATACGAGACAACACACACACACAATTCCCTCTTTGTCTTTTTACTTTTTTAACTTCACGAGGTCTCAAAACGTGGAGATTTGGAAACACTCGGAGGGTGAAATTTGGCACGATTCCAATACATACTTTCTCTTGTTATGTTACTGTATACATAACAGCTCTAAAAGCAGTGGCGTGCCGTCATTGGAAGCGATGGATGCGCCGCTTCCCTTGTATATTCTAAAAAAATAAATGCATATTCATTTTAATTATATGAAAATAATCGCACAATATTTTATTATAACCGCATTATGTATCTTATTACAAATTTCTATACTA